GCAAAAATATATGAGTTAATGTAGTCTGAATTGTACATGCTTTGGGATGTGGATTATGGAATAGTTGTAATTGGAAATTGGATTGGTATACAACTTTCATTCCTCGATGTTCTTCATTTGAAGTAGATGAATATGTGTGAGGCTAACATCTGATTATTTGTTTGCAATAAACTTTTCTACCATCGGACCAATCATCAATTTTCCCTCCATAATTATGAAGGACTAGTCTGGTGTTTTTTTTTCTTTTAGAAATTGAGTTAATAAGTTACAAATTACACTGGTTTTTTTAATTGTTTTATAGAAATTAGATTAATCACTTTCATAATGAAATTGGTATTAAGTGTTTCAGTTTTAATGTTTTAGGGATTATATTGTGCAGTTTGCTAAGAAATACAAGATTAGTTTTGCCGTTTTCAAAAACTAATTAATATGTTTATTGGTATAGTAGGCTAAAAAACTGGTGGCCCTTCAGGCTTCTTAAGGGGTCTACCAGTTATTTACAGTAACACCAAAAAAAAAAAAAAAAAAAAAAAAAAAAAAAAAAAAAAAAAAAACTCCATGTGTTTACCCACTAGTTTACTCTTAATGAAGATTTAGTCGAATTCTAGTCCAAAATCCATTTCAAAGGTTAATAAATCTCTATTTGCTATATTTAAAGAACTGCTTATCCATATTGAGTTAAACAACATCAAAACATGATTCCGAATTTCAAATTGGTGAATAATTGATAAATCAATGATATGATCCAGTTTAAAATGAATCAAATCATTTACAAGATATAACGTAAATTCCAGTCGTCGGTATTCAACGATATCTACCTTGGAAAGTCGCACGATGTACCTTTTCAAGCAAATGGGGTAGCATATTATCGTGGATACTATCTTACTGACGATATATATCCTCCCTTGTCTGTTTTTGTGAAATCGTTTACATGTCCTAACGACTCGAAAAGGAAAAAGTTTAAAGAGGCGCAAGAGTCAACTAGGAAGGATGTGGAGCGAACATTTGGTGTACTTAAGAGACGTTGGCAAGTACTAACGGTCGGGGCAATGTCATATGAAGTGAAAAGATTGCAGCACATAATGTATGCATGTATCATATTGCATAATATGATTCTTGAATACGAAGGAAGAGCGATATGTCGGTACAACGAAAATGAAGTTTTGCCAAATGTCGAAGGAGTAGCCGTTGGTACACAAGAGTATAGGGCAAATAGAAGAGATGTACACAATCGCGACATTCATCACACCCTTCGTGCTGATTTGGTGGAGCACATTTATAGGGCTTATATTCAGCCGCCGATAGAGTTTTCTCACGATGATTTGTTTGACGAATCAGACGAAGATTCTGATATATTCGTCGAGAGCGAAGATTCCGACGACGAGAGTGACGTTGGGGAGAATGATGAAGACGATGAGGTTGATGACGGGGACGATGATTCCGAGTGATGTATTTTGTTTTTTTTTAAATTAGGATATTAGTTATGTTTTCTATGTTATGATTTGTTTGATTTTTTGTTTGCGTTTTTTTTTTAATTTTCTACTTATTTAAATATTAGATTTAATGTTAATTTTTATTTTACTTAATGAAGTGCTTTTTATTTTTAATTAAATCTTATGTTTATTATTAATTTAAAAATTGTAAATTATAAAAAAGAATAAATTAAAAAAAACAAAATAGTGATGGAAGCTTCCCACCCATTCTTTGCGTTTAGGTGAGGGAAAGGGTGGTATGGCCCACAAAAAGTAAGGAAAACTCCCCTCCCATACCTTCCGGTCTAAGTTTTATATGAAAGTACGATATAACACTTTTTCAAAGATATTCATGATGTTTGTTGAAATTAGTGTAAGTTTATTAACGATGTATGAGAAAGAACAGTAGAAATATAAAGTTTCATAGAAAAACAAGAAACCGAAACAGAAAAACCATAACTTTGTATACTCAAATTTAAAAACAAAAAGTTTCAGTTTGGTTCAAGTTTTTGTAAAAAACAAACCATTATCACTCTTGGGGGTTAACAAATTTCGTTCACTGAAAAAATTACATTCTTTTTTAATAAAAAAAAAACATCATATATAAAAACCGGAAAAACAGTTATCTCATTTTAGTTTGCTTTCTTACATATAAAAATCGGAAAAACGAAACTAACCAAAATATCAAAACTACATTGTTTTCTGAATCTAAGAATTTCAAGTAAAAAAGCCAAAAAATTTGAAGCAAACCGAAATTTTCAGTTCGTATATTGTTTGCCCAAATCAATTCATAGCTATAGTTGTTAACAAACTTTGTTTCATGTTTAAAAATTTGTATTATGAGAAAAAAAATCTAAAAAATGATATTTATTGAAAGAAAAAATTTGATATGAATGGCGTTTATGAAAAGTTTAAGAGATATAAATGGTTTTTTTTAATAAAAAATAAATTAATAATTTTTCAGATAAAAGCTTAAAAAAAATTATAATATATCTGATGTTAAAAAAATATGATATTTTCTATAAAACAACAAACAAACTACCTAAAACTACAAGGCATCATTAGTCTAAATTAAATTACTTTGGAACCAAGAAACATCAAATTTTGCAATAAAATAGAAGGAGAATGTGGGCATGTGACCACTTGTTAATTATGGACATGGGAACGTGATCATCATCGTCACGCTTAATCACTTTGCGTTCCCATTTCTGACTTTCCCCCACTCTCTACCTCCCCACCCTCGCCTGGACAATAGACCTGCTGTTTTTTTTATTAAGTGATTATTTTTTATATATGTGTTCTAAAATAAGTATTAATTTTATAAACTTTACACTTTGAAAAAGAAAATACTTATTTTGTAAAATAGATTTTATAAAGAAAAATGTCCTTCGCTTCAAAAACTTAGAAAAGTTATATTTTTAGTGGACCCTTTTTGGAAGAATGATGTATCGCAAAAATCACTTTATGAAATATATACTTATTTTGCTATATATGTTCAAAAGATGGTACGTATAATACGAAACCTCTATTTTTTTTTATCATTTTGATGTTTAACTCTAAATTTGTCTAAAATAAAGTTTGTAGTTTAAAAGAATAAACCTTAAAATTCAAAAACTATTTGAAATAACTTTCAATAGCTTTTACAAGTTTTTTAACTTTTAACTTTTATATTATTTTACAAATTACTAAGTTTTTTAACTTTTAACTTTTATATTATTTTACAAATTTGAAAGGTTTACATCTAATTTTTTCAAATATTTTTATATAAATAAAAACTACACTTTTCAGCTTATTAGTATTGATTTATCAAACATATATTTAATATCAAATTAGGGTGTTTGATAAGAACTATAGTTTTTAGCTTCATATATTTAATAAAAACTATATTGATAAGAGACTAAGTCAATAAGTATTATTCGATTAGATTCAGGTCATTTGATACCACTCGATCAGATTTAGACCGTTTGATACCACAATTATAATGGTATTGTTTTTTCAGTACAAAAATATTATTAAAGTATACTATTTATATACAGAATACCAACGAAATACATATATGTTTAAATAAAAGCTTGTGGTAACCGGTTACTTCAGGTAAACAGAAAAACAAGTTAAAAAGGTAACGAAGTTTCCAAAATGTTCAAGAAATATCATTGTTTTTTTAGAACAAAAAATATCATTGAAGTATATCATTTGTAAACAGAATACCAACAAAGTACACACATTTAGTACAAAAAATATCATTGAAGTTTCTAAAATGTTCAAAAAATACCATTGTTTTTTTAATAGCACTTTTTGTTAATTTCGTTCTTGTCGGATTATGTAGAACACAGTCACCGAAGATCATTCACCGTCATATCATTTCACAACAGTTGTGCACTCTCTTTCATTCCCCCACTCGATCATTCTTGCGGTAACATGAGAAGAAAGTGGGTAATAACATTAGTTAAAAATTCTTGCTTCCAAATCATATTATATGCCTCAAAACTAAAATGTATACATGTTATATACGTACACATATTATATACGTACACATATTATACTTTAGGGTTAGCCGCTCATTAGTGTTGCAGCACAAGAGAGACACAAAAAACTAGACAGATGAATGGTTGCAGATTTTCCGACACTTCAAAGGTTGTTGGAGAATGATGTTTCACATAATCGGTTAACGAGAGAAGCGAGTGTGACATTATGTCGTGAGAATTCCTAAATGTGGATGTAGAGGGTAAGAATTGTATTTAATTCTCCAGGACCATTGAGGGATGAATGGTCAGGAACACTCAACGTCATGTGACTGAGTTGATAACGATTTGTAGTCAAACTATAGAGGGGAAAAATATGTGTTGGAGCACTTGAACTACTTGCATCCTAATTGATGGATTCTTAGTTATGTGTTTTTCTATGATTATTTAGATACAAACCAATCGAGTGAGAGAAATAAAAGAGTGTGTACAACTATTATGAACTGGTATGATGGTGCATGATCTCCAATGACTATGTTCTACATAATCCGGCAACAATGAAGTTAACAAAAAATGATTTAAAAAACAATGATATTTTTTTGAACATTTTTTAAACTTCAATAATATTTTTTGTACTAAATGTGTATACTTTGTTAGTATTATGTATACAAATGATATACTTCAATGATATTTTTTATACTAAAAAAGCAATTGTATTTCTTGAAAATTTTGGAAACTCCGTTATACTTTTAAGTCATTTTTCTGTTTTACTTGAAATAACTCGTTATCAAAATATTTTATTTGAACACATATATATTTTTTATTGGTATTCTATTTATAAATAATATATTTTTTAAACATTTTAAAAACTTTGTTAGTAATTTTCCCTAAATTAATTTGAGACAAATTCAACCAAATCAATTTACCAAATATATGAAACATTCTAAATTTAACTTTGTCCATGTGATATAGCACGCGAAAGGTGTGAGCGCGTAGGAATTGACTTGGTGTCAATCGCTAACAAAAAGGTCCACAAACGCACCCCTGTCTCTGACACCTTTTTACCTTTTTCTTCTTCTTCTTCTTCGTCTTTTTCTCCCAAATCAAACCAAAATTCACCTCTTCGATCGTTATCAACTACAATTCCACTCAGATTCTACTCATTTTCTCAAAAAATGGACTCATCGGATGATGAAGGAGAGGAGTATCTGTTCAAAGTAGTGATAATCGGAGATTCAGCTGTCGGCAAATCAAATCTGCTCTCCAGATACTCCAAGAATGAATTCAACATGCACTCTAAATCCACCATCGGAGTCGAATTTCAAACTCAAACCATGGAGATCGACGGCAAGGAGGTTAAAGCTCAGATTTGGGACACCGCCGGTCAAGAACGCTTCCGCGCCGTCACCTCCGCTTACTACCGCGGTGCTGTCGGTGCGCTCATCGTTTACGATATCTCCCGTAGCACTACTTTCGATAGCGTCACCAGATGGCTTGAAGAACTCAAAAGTGAGTTCGAATTTCGTATTACTAAAATTTGTTAATTTTCGATTATCTGTTTCAGAAGAATCTCATGTTATTAGATCTGGTTGAAACTGTATGCAGCTCATTCGGATACAACAGTGGTGAGGATGTTGGTTGGGAATAAATGTGATTTGGGGAATATTCGAGCTGTAAGCGTTGAAGATGGGAAAAAACTTGCTGAAAACGAAGGGTTGTTCTTCATGGAAACGTCTGCACTTGATTCAACTAACGTGAAAACAGCTTTCGAGTTGGTGATTAAAGAGATCTACAACAATGTTAGCAGGAAAGTATTGAATTCTGAATCATATAAATCTGAATTGTCCATGAATAGGGTAACCCTTGACAATAGGGGTGACGATGATGGATCAAAGCAAAATCAAAGCAGATCCTCTTGTTGTTCTTGAATCTTTGAGTAGTTAAGAACTAAGGCAAAAAAATGAGGTCTTTCATGAGTTGTATCTATGTTTATACTTTATAGACTAAATTTGATTTCACATATTTAAAATAATTATTTTTTTCCAGAAATCAATTGTTTTGTGCTTGAATTCTATTCAACTTATGGAAACCATGTTCAAGATATATCCGGAAATAAAAACATTCTTTGTCATGTTTGACCACAAATGAAACAAACTCATGATTTTTGTTTACAGAATCTCGTTCGTCTATATTGTTTTGAATCACTTGACTTTGATATATTGGACCATCTGATATTCCCTTTAAAATAATGATTATTCAAGATGTATTTGCCTCTATTTAAAAGTATACTTTTAAATGACAAAGCTGCAAAAATGGTCATATTGTGATATGCATTTTATCCGGAAAATAGTCCAAACCATGAAAGTTTTGGATTTATGGTCTTTTTGAGCATGTTTGTATGTTGTTCTGGTTCCTAAGAAAATTAAAATGATTAAATTACCCTTACAATATTTATTATCTATTTTTACTGTTTACATTAACCAAAGATAATCTCTCTCTCTCTCTCTCTCATCGCAAGCTCAAAAGAGCCTAGATTATATGTAAATTTTGTTGAACTTGAAAACATAAAATCAATTTGCAAATGGACCTATATGCAAATTCTGTTGAATGATAATGAAGACACTTCGATCATATATTTCTTCATTTTACTGCAAATCTTTGTTTTTTAAACAAAAAATGCGAAGAATTTATTCTTCCCCAAACTTTTGTATTTCTCACGGGGAAAACTTTCATAGTCCTGATCAACCACGATTTAGGAATCAGATGGCACTAATATTTCCCCTTGAATCCTTGATAACATATATCAATCGTTGCTTCAAAGTAAAATTCTGAAACTAAGACTAAATCACACAAAACCCCCCATTTAAGACACTTGAAATCTCACCATAAACCACGGCAAGAACTCACAACCTCATTCTTCTTTGTGGATTTTGGCGAACCAGATCCATTTTTTTGGCTCAACAGGGTACTCACTCATTGTGGCGTTGCATATGGCAGAAATCAAAGGCATGTGCAAACATTTCCTATGCAGGGAGCCCCACCATTTTTATACATCAATTACTATCCCATATCATAAACCCATTTCTGAGTTAGGGTTTCATATGAACAAATTGATGGTTTTTGAAGTTTCAAAATCAAAACTTACCATGACCCAAAGCCAATCGAATTTCGAGTTGACAATTTCAAAAAATCAAACCTGCAAGTTGTCAACAAGAAGAAATGAACTAGAGGTTGTAATATTTTAGAATATCTGTAGGATTCCGACGAGATGGTGGATTCAGATGAAAATTATAGACAGTGAGGTTGGATCCTAAAGTAGCAGAGAAACAAGTCGCATTTTAGTCGAGACTAAATCCTACTCATTTCGAAGTAAAGGTTGTGAGCAAGAGGCTTATGGGCATCCTAAACTCATTTTAGGTGTTCAAGCCCGGACCCAAGAATAGACAAGAAAGTAGGTCCGAGATCAAGAAGATCTTGCAACATTATTGTATCCTAAAGTCATTGGCTACATGGGGAAAGAGGACGATATTGACATGCTAGTTAAAAATTTGTTCGACAATACTAGATTGAGATCATTGGACCAAGGAGGATACCACATTCAAGAGGAGAGAACATTGGGCATACCAACATCAGGCAATGTCTATGTAAGATTGTAGGTGGACATTTTACAACATTAGTGAAAGTATTATGCTCCTTGGAGATGCTGTGACAACCAGAAAAATTTTAAAATTTTGCCTTGCAAAGCCCAGCCAGTCAAGTCAACTGGATGTCAGACTCATTTCCGCTATCATTTAGCCTCGTTTGGAGTCCGTTTAAAGGTCCAAAGGTCAGTACATTCAAGCATTGAGCATAGGAATGGATCGCGTACACTTCTAGCATCAAAACCGGGCCTTACACTCCAACATCAGGAGTGTACGGTCGCACACTCGGTGTGCGGCCGCACACCCCTCTCCTGGCAGCACACTCTCGTGTATATAGGAGGGACTTAGCCTTCTTTCATCTCTTTTCACCCTCCCAAGCCTAGAACTCGATTTTGCTCTCAACTACCATCCAATTTTAAGCTTAGATCATCGAGTTGGTAAGTGTTCTTCTCCCGATTTGTTGTTAATCTTCATAAACTAGTTACATCCTTTGATTTCATCCATTTGAAATCATGTTTTGTCTAGATCTTCAAGTTACACCAAGAACACCAAGAACACACACTTGTTCTTGGCGATTTTGAGCCTCCTCGAGCTTCCGGATCGTAAGTACTCTTCCCATAAGCTTAGAACTTGTTAAGAACACGAGATTAAGGCCTTGAAACTGCCCAGAACTCAAGAACATATGAGTGTGCGGCCGCACACACTCATGTAGCCGTACACCCCTCAAAAACCCTCAAAACACCCTTCAAACACCCCTAAAGGCTTCCATATTGTAAGAACCATCCCCTAAGCTTGTTAGTTACTAGATATGAGCCTTAGAAGATGTCCAAACCATGTGCATCAAGGAGTGTGCGGCCGGACACACTCCATGTGGCCGTACGCCCCTTAGTTTGGTGCTTTAGGGCTTCCAAATTGCCTTTCTAGCTTCAACACTTGATGAGCATCAGTCCTACAAGCCTCCCTACCATTTGGAAAACGTTTTGTGAACTCTTTACCATGAGTGTGCGGCCGCACACTCCTGTGTGCAACCGCACACACATGCTGGCCGCACACCCATGGCCGCACACCCATCAATATGGTCGTACACTCCCTTTTAGTGAATCACATGTGATTCCAACACTTGGACAAAGTGTTTCCTAGTCCCGTAAGGTGTTTCCTTGCATTTGGTTGCTTCTAAGCACTATATTTATGTCAATATATGACAATGTATATCATTTAGGACTTGTTGTGTCTCGGGACTTCATTCGTGGAACTTTTCATCCTTACGCGCGTATTCGTTTGAATCACCCACATCAGGTGAGTTCATACCCCGTAATGAATCTTTTAACTGTTTTCAATGTTTTAAGTGGGGGAATACAAGTTGAACACAATGATAATTGTGTAATTGTTTGTTTCAAACATCTTTCAAAATATTGTTTATGCTTTTATAAGTGATCAAAACATTTCAAAAACTCTTTTAAAGTTATGTTACTTTATAGTTTCACAAAACTCCGTTTTCTTTAAAGTACTGGCATAACTTGGTAGATAAAAGAGTCTTTTCAATATCAGTTCAAGGAAAACATTAGTAAACTATAATAGGTATAGTTTAGGAAAAACACTATTCATTTCCTTCTAATACAATAAAGCATGCAAGGAGTCAGTTCAAGTACATTAAAAGTAAACTATAATAGGTATAGTTTAGAAATCCAGTTCATGCTAGATACAATACACGATAATATAAAGAGAACCCACTATAAAGAGAAACAGGGAAGAATACACCATACTAAGTACCGGGAAAAATCACGTTAATACATCTTGCCGGGTTTGCATTGACACTGGTATGATTTCACGTACCAGGACTAGCAGACGCGAGATGATAAACCTAATAATACACTTGCCGGTTTTGCATTGACACTGGTACGATTTCACGTACCAGGACTAGCAGACGCGAGATGATAAACCTAATAGTATATCTTGCCGGGTTTGCATTGACACTGGTACGATTTAACGTACCAGGACTAGCAGGCACGAGGTGATAAACCTAATAATATATCTTGCCGGGTTTGCATTGACACTGGTACGATTTCACGTACCAGGACTAGCAGGCACGAGGTGATAAAACTATCATAATATATCTTCCTAGTTATATACTAGTTCACATTTAAACCTTTAATTAACCGACTTAGGACTAAAGGCTACTTTAGACTCCCCGAGGTGTATCGTTCATTTAATACTACCTGGAGTCTGTATTTTATTACTTTATAACCAGCGGTGTCATTGCTGAGGTAAAACATTATTTTCCCTATTACATTTACTTGTGATCTTCTCACATATTCATTAATGTATAAACTATATTTAGTTAAAGATAGTCTCACTTGGGAAAATACCTACTAATACAAGGAAAGAACACCCATAACATTTGATGCCTTGGTAGAAGGCTACGTTTAGTAGAAAGGACCATAATGCTAACCTTATGATTCCCTAATGTATACATCAAAGGATACATATATATCAATAGGATCCGGCGGGTAATAGGATGTGTGCTTTCCGCTTCATTTCCTGTTCCTTGTTTGGTTGTGGGCTTGGAACAGATTCACCCAGTCTACTATCTATCCGATTCTAGATATATATGTCCAGTATACATTGAGTCATCATGAGGGTACCAGGTATGGGTCAAGTCATAGGACACAGAGTCAATGCACAGTTTTCTAGCTCGGAATATACTTTCCAAATCAGAACTTTGGGTATGCAAAGCTAGAAACTTACCAGTTAAAGGTTTAATCCATTTTATTAAACCAGTATAAACTTAAAGGACCATATGTGATTAACTCTATAATACTTTAGTTTATACATCACGGATATATATATAAATATATATATATATATATATATATATATATATATATATATATATATATATATATATATATATATATCATTAATATCCAATAGGTAGTTGGATGTGTGCTTTCCGCCTTACTTCCTGTTCCTTGTTTGGTTGTGGGCTTAGGGCAGATTCACCCAACTAACTCTCTATTCGATATTAGATCATATATAGCCAGTATAAACTAAGTGATTATAGGAGTAATCACTGTGGTCACCATTTTATTATAGGAAATAAGAGTTTTCCTTAAAGAATCTTTTCATTAAATATAAAGGAACCATTACAATTAACTCCATGAGTAACAAGTGAATACACTGGGGTTATATACTACAATGATCAAACAAACAATGGGATGTGTGCTTTCCGCCTTAGAGCAGATGCGCTCAATTGATTGTTTGTTTACTCTGAGTTGTATATCACTTGTATACATTTAGTACTCATAGAAAGGATTGTAGAATCATTTTACGTATCTTTCACCAAAGTAGAAAATATAGGATT